GATAGGTAAATAATTCTAGATAAAATCTTTCCATATTGTAAGAAGTTTCCTGGCCAGGTATAGTGGCGCTCCTATAATCCCAGGACTCTAGAAAGCTGAGGCAAAAGGATTACAAATTTGAGCCCAGCCTGGGTAATTTAGCAACTTAACAAGACCCTAGCTCAAAATAAAACAAAACGAAAAATGGGCTGGGGTTGCAGCTGAGAGTAAAGGCTGCAAGTTCACTCTCTAGTTCTGGGGGTGAGGAGAAAAAGAAAAAGAAAGAAAAAAGGTTTTTCTGTGCTCATATAAAATCCATAAAATAAAACTATGGTAAAATGTGAACCCCAAAGGGCTTGGGTAGCTCTGCCCCTCCAGCACTGCCAGTGGTTGTAGCCCTCACAGCCTCTCGTTTGGGCTGGCTTTGCTTAGTCCTTGCAGTGAGCAAAAAACAACAAAATTCATGTTGTTTATAGAGTGAGATATGTCTTAAACTCATGGTCTTTAAAAAGAGTAATTTTTTCTTAACTAAATATGTTTTATTTTCCTCCTAAACTATACACGTCTCAGGTTGTCAGGTTTTGGGAGAGAAAGTGACCATTCTGTCAGCTTCACTCTGGCAACACCCCACTGTCTCTATGAAGTGACTAACCCTTTGGAAGTAGACCTGTCATTTCCTCAACCTTCCATTTGAGAGGCCCTGATGGAATTGGTGACCTACACATTCAGGCTGTGATGTTAACAGTAGGCCATGAAGGAACCTGAAGACTCTTAAAAAAGGATAATTTTTAAAGATGTAGATGAGTATACTCTGAGCATAACACATAGTATAATAGTAGGTGTTCAGTCAACATTTATTGAATGAATTTTCTTAAATTATAACATCCATATCTCATTCACGGTCAAGATTCTTTCATATTTAAGTCATTTGTTCAGAGAAGAGCCCTACCAGCACTTAAATTACTTTTCATTTAAGGATTTGGCATGTATACAGGTATTTTGGAAGGTGGACACTGAAATGAGACAGCTTAGGTGGCTGTCTTACTTTCTTGCCACTGAGACACAATACCTGACACCCACAGCTCCAAGGAGGAAAGGCTTATTTTGGCTCACAGTCTGTAGAGGTTTCAGTCCATAGCCAGCTGGCTCCAAGACAGCGCAGCACAACAGAGAAGAGTAGCTCACTGCATGGCAGTGAGAAGGAGAAGAGAGAGATCGGGGAAGAGAGGAGCAAGAGATCATTCCAGGCTCTATTTCCGTACCTGCTCCGTCCCAGCTTTATATCCCAAATCATATTTGCCTTAAACTCAGTGGACTAACCTCATGATCCAACCACCTCCCCAAAGCCCATCTATGAGCATACGAGGCTTTCAGGGGGGCATTGAGATATAAACCGTAACATTCCACCCTTGGCCCCAAAAGACTCATACATATCCCTGTATGAAAAATGCATTTATCCCATCTCTAAAAGTTGTCAAAGTTCTGACAGATTCAGCATTGCTGAAAGTCCAAGCCCAAATCTCTTCTGAGATTTTTTGTTGTTGTTGTTTTGTGATAGGGTCTCACTTTGTAATTTAGGCTGGTCCTGAACTCACTATGTAGCCCAGGCTGGCCTCGAATTCACTCACAGTGATCCTCCTGCTTCAGCCTCCCGAGTGCTGGAATTACAGGCACACGCCACCATGCCCGGATCTTCTGAGATTTAAGGCAAATTTAGCTGTAAGCCCCTAAAAAATCAAGAGAAAATTAAACACTGATGACATACAAGGACAGAGTAAGCATTTCATGTGAAATAGAGGGATGGAAAGGAATAGGCCCAAAGCAAGATCAAAATCCAGCAGGGAGGCTGAGGATTTAGCTCAGTGCTGCCACCGTTGCCTGCCTTGCAAACACAAGGTCCTGAGTTTTATCCCAGGTACAAAAAAAAAAAAAAAAAAAAAAAAAAAAAAA